AATTCCTCTCCCCCTTTTTTCGAGCCTCGTTCGCTCGGGATGGTCTCTCCATTAGAATTCTTTTTGACACTTTCTTGTGGTTCAACTACACTCCGCCTTTCTCAAAGGTCAAAAAGCCACTAATTTAACACAAGAATGACTAGATATTTCATTGTCCTCTTGTCTGTCTGAGATTAGCTCTTTCCACTGGTAGGTTATTAAATTCCTCTAATTCCAATTGGCTGGTACACATCTTTGGATGTTTGGCGGTGAATGGGCACCAATATTTTCACTTATAACTGTGAGCTTAGAAATCTGGCCTTTTTCAGGACATAAAGACCTTAAATCTATTTGCAGTGACTGACCGACTCAACCGTCTATTTACTAAATAAACCGTAGTCAGCCGTCTGTTGTTGGCCTCACCAAGCCTTTAGTGGACTGTCATAAACCACAAGTAAACTTTTTGGCAGCAAGAAAGATAGATCACAGTCCAGAAAATAGAAAAGATTCTTAAACTACTGTTTGGCAAGTGAAATCAAGTCTTTCCAAATTAAATCTGAAAATGGCCCGGACAAAGCATACTGAGTGAAAATGAATACTATTACACCAAAGGAGAATTATATAATCATGGACCAAAATTTATAACTAATAATATAAAGAATACAGAACTTTCTGTGAAGACAGTAAAAACAACTCACGAGAGGCACATGGTTGGAAAAGCAACGAGAGAGATAGACATACTTCCGAACAACGCGAAAGGAGACACAAGAATGATCCTTCTTAGAATGTGAATATAAAGATGGAACACAAGATATTGACACATCAAATATAGCGAGGGAAAGAGAACCAAGTTTATTTTCAGTAATGATTGCAATAAAAATTAAAGACCCGGAATATATGCCAACGATTTACTCTATCAACCCAAACGGCTACAGAGGCTACATACTAAGACCCAGAGGTAACCCACTTGTATTACAATATGGAGAAATTACGATTTCAGTATAGAATGTAATAGTAAGAACACCAGTTGCCATATAAAATAAGACCAGTCGGCTGAACTACACACATCAGACATCCCATTGGAAATACCAATACCAGCTACCGTTGAAAAATTTGAAGAAAAACTGAAAATAAAAGTGATATCATAAAGATTAGATACAAATTTATTTAACCAAAACTTACAATTGAATACAAATATTAGAAATTGAAAACATCAAATTGACAGAAGTAAAAAGAGCCTTCATATTACACGGGTTCATTACAAAAACTTTTTAACAGGGATTGCATATAAAAGAGAAAATATAACCGATGAGGACAAACGGGACATTTACGTCATTAAATGTCTAAAAAAACCTCACAAACACAACTTGAAATCAACAACAAAAAAAATCAACTTGGAGAAACCGATTCCTAAACAGAGACAAAGGAAGAAACAGCAACAACAAACAATAAAGCAGCAACAAAGACAACAGTCAAAACCTGCAACAAAACAAAAGAAAGAAAAAATAAAACATTAACAAAAATAGATAAAAAAAACTAAAGGAGAATATCGATAGGGATAAGTACCAGAACAAGAAAATAAACAAAAAAGGAAACAAAATCGACATGTCCAAAAAACAACAGAGATACTGAAAGCAGAAATCCAACAAACACTTTTGGCAGAAACAGCAACAAAAGAACAACAACAACAAACAGGACAAACTTAACATGAAAAAAGATGTTAGAGACCAATCTACAGAGAAACAAAGTAATATAAATAGTGTCACGTTCGTTCAAGCTATGTAGCCGAGTGTATAAACTTATGGCTATTTTCTAAGCGTTTGAAGTGTAAGCATCGCCGCCGGCCACTGTCAAGCGATTATGTAAGTCGCAAGGAACTTAGCCTTTGGGTTCCACTCTTGTATATTTTACCCATTTGTTATACATTGGACGGAGATCAAAAGGAAGCCCGCATGATAAACGGGACGTGTTCTATCTGCAACGTAGGAAGACAACGAGAACCCTGACAGTTCATTTGATTGAGTAAATCTCACAATATCCAACCGGAAGTCAGCTAGTGGGTGGGCCTAAATCTTACATTTGAGTGATTAGCTGGCCAAAAAATAATTAGTATACCTGGGCAGTTTGGGAGGAGACATCGCCGCCATAAGAATCACGCGCCGTGAGACACCACTCGTAAATTGGCGGGAGACGTGGGACAAAGAATTGTGAACAAATAAAGAGGCTTCGGAAGATAGGAATTTGCTCGATTTTTGCAAACCATTACATCGTCGCAATTGTAAGTATTGATATTGTTTTCTCCATTACTGGAATTCTTTTAAAATGTATAATTACTTTCTAGTGTTTTATTTAGGAGCTTATTTGAGACATGAACTTGAGTTACGTAGAGAATTATGTAGATTGCTAGTTCAGTAGAATTAATATTATAGTCGCTTTTATTATAGTCGTACCTTTAGTAATGCGTATGTTAGCGTTCAATAGCTAAAATAGATGTTTGAACATATCACAGCATAGATACTAG